GCGGCGAATAAGGTAAAAACCAAAGGGCTTTGCCGAGTGCCCAAGATTTGGCACTCAGCAAAGTAAATGTATGCCGAGTGCCAGATTGCGGGCACTCTGCATTGTTGTTACAATGTAATTTAAAAATACCTTGTTAAATTCACTCAACTATGCATATTTGATTTTTCTACGAATATTATTTCATGCAGTTATAGCTCAAAATCAATTTATATCAATTAAAATTCTATAATTACAGTTAATAAATTAAAATTATCAAACGGATCCGAAAATTTACCAAAATTTGACGTGAACCAATCTATGTTGTCTATTGCCTATACAAAAAGTTTTGTAGTCAAACCCCAATTCGACCGTCACTTTGACTCAAAATCTTACCGGATCCTGCTCAACGCTATGGTTCTTCTTCGGAGATGCTTCGGTTTGTAAGCGTCGTACGTGACAAATTATGCGAAACCTTCTCAAATTTTTACCACAGTCTCCACGTATGATATCATAAGATTTTGACAAATCTCGTGATTTTCAGACTTTGTTTGCTTTATTTAGAATTTAAAAACCATTCGGCCACACATTCGTGGTCGTGTTTCCTGAACAAAATGTTCGAAATTTCTTTTCATTTCCTGGGTAAGGCCTCAAAATAGACTCAATAACATGAATATCATTTTTCCACTCATTTTATTTCATTATTTGAATCACTTGTAGTTCAAATTTGAGTTATACCCAAAAAAATCCTCTAAATGCAATAAATTAATTAAATATACCAAACAGATCGAGAAATATACCAAATTTTAACATGTAGTACCACATGTTGTATGTGGAGAGTAGAAAAAGTTTGGAGGTCAGGAGAGAAAAAAAAGTTTTGGCTTTGTCGAGTGCCTATAAAAAAACACTCGACAAACTTATAATTTTGCCGAGTGCTGGGGAAACACACTCGGCAAAGTAGCACTTTTGATAACGGCTGGCACGCCGTCAGATGGCCGTCGCACATGCCGGTCATGTGATAGTATTTTGCCGAGTGTCAATTCATTGCCGAGTGTCATCTTGTTGTTTGCCAAGTGTCTGATATACTACACTCGGCAAATCGGGTTTTTTATCGAGTGCAATATGTATGTCGAGTGTCTTATTCACTACACTCGGCAAATCATCTCTTTGCCGAGTGTTCGATGGAATGTGCTCGGCAAACAAAAAAGACACTCGGCATATTTACTGTTTCCGGTAGTGAAGGGGACATGGACATTACGACCTACACCGGTCGTCTCAAACAGCTCGCCGATGCCCTGCGTGATGTCGGCCAGCCCGTGCGTGAGACATCCTAGGTGCTTAACATGCTCCGCGGTCTTAACCCTAAATATCGCCATACAGTTCCCGTGATCACCGCCAAAACCCCTCCCCACACCTTTCTTTCAGCTCGATCTTATCTGCTTCTAGAAGAGCAGTATGATCGGGAACACGCCAAATCCGCTCAGCACCACGCGCTCCTCACCACTGGCGCCGCGCGATCCACCGCTAACCCCGCCGGGGATGGCGGTTCCTCCTCCGTTCCCCGTTCAGCACCACCCGCTCCCGTAGCTGCCCCACGGTCCGACAATTCTCACGGTTACAAGAAGCGAGGTCGTGGGCACGGCTTCGGTCCCTCGCACAGTTCCGGTCCCTCGCACTCCGAGCAACGCATGGACCCCAGGCCTCAATCCGTGGATGGGCATGGTGCAAGCCTGACCCATGCAGTGCCGGCCCTTGGGTAGGGCACGAGGTGCGACGGCTGAGGGCCCAAGCGAAGGAGTGGCACAAACCCAGGTATACAAACCCCCAGGTCCTATAGTCCATTAGCCATTAGCAAACTAATGAGAAGAGATACATATAACTGATCAAGTGGCCCAAAAAGACAACATCGGCATTTCTTTCCTAGTTTTCTTTCCCCACGGCCCTCGGGTAGAGAGGAGGCGAGGAGTCACGCTGCACACAACACACTCTGATTGTGAGTTCGCGACGTGCGCCTTACACACGCAGAGCTGGCGAGCCGCACCGCCACGAAGAGCTAGCTAGACTACCAGAGACACGGACAAGGCGCACGAGGACGGTGACCAGGGCTCCACGACGACGACATCTTGATTCTTGGCTTCTTACGAATTGCGATCACCGATCAGTTGTTTAGGCCCAAGCTATTTTTTTTCTTTTTATTTTTAATCCAAATTAATTATTTGTATAGTATTCCAGACTTCTAGTACTTTGTACCCATATAGTCATATTTTTCTTCTAATTTAGGTGTTAGAAGTTTAAAATGTCACCTAAGAAACATTTGTTATAGACGAGAAAAGAAAACGAATATATTGCTTTTTTAATCTATATTGTTCCTCGATAATTATCATACATCTATAAATATATTGCTTAATCTACATTGTTTATCGATAATTATCTAACATGTTAAATTAAAAATATATTATTGAATTTACTTTCGTTTTACAAATAAAATTAGTACCTATATATTATAAAATTTTATACGTGATCGAGGGAGGCCGTTGCGACGAGATCGCCAGACGGTCCTTAAAATGCTAGGACCGGCACTAGACCCATGCCCTTCCGTGCTCCACGCTGGCGTGCTCGGCTCTCGCCCCAGCGCTCCACCGCAACAGGCATACCTTGCCAGCGCGCCGTCCCAGCCTGCTCCACAAGCATACTACGCGGGCGCCCCGTACGAGATCCCGCCCAGCGTTCCTCCTCCAGCCGCACCATCCCAGGATGTCTGGAATCAACAGGCGCTGCTCGCCGCTCTGGCGAACTCCGGCGTCCCCCCGACGGGTCCACAGACTGCGGAGTGGTTCCTCGATACTGGGGCTTCTTCACACATGGCTGCACACGCTGGTAATTTTCCATCTTCTCAACCTCTTTCTCAGTCTATTCCTATCACCGTTGGCAACGGTGCTGTCATCCCTGTTACTCATCAGACCAGCACTGCTATTGCTACTCCTCATTCTTCCCTTCTTCTTTGTAATATTCTTGTTGCATATCTGTTCGCCCCCTTACCCGCGATAACAACGTGACTGTTGAATTTGACAAATTTGTTTTTCCATCAAGAACATCCCGACGCAAATGGTGCTCCTCCGATGTAACAGTATCGGCGACCTCTATCCTCTGGCCCCGTCCACGCCGGAGGTTCTCGTCGCCGTTGCTCCTTCCACCGATCTGTGGCATCTCCGTTTGGGCCATCCTGGACGCCAGACGCTCACCAGCACCATTCGTCACCTTGATTTCAGCTGCTCCAAGTCTTCAGAACATGTTTGTCAGTCTTGTCAGTTAGGGAAGCATGTCAGACTTCCATTTTCATCTTCTAGTTCGTGTACCTATGTTCCCTTTCAAGTGATACATGGTGATGTGTGGACATCTCCGGTGTCTAGTTGTTCTAGATTCAAGTATTACCTTGTCTTAATCGATGATCTAACTCATTATGTTTGGACCTTTCCACTACGCTGTAAATATGATGTTCTTGCCTGCTTACCGTCATTTCACGCTTATGTTCAGACACAGTTTCAGCTTCCACTAATTTCCCTCCAAACCGATAAATACTTCACAGAGAGCAATATAACACCTGTTGGCTCCTATTCCTCTCTTCTACTTGATGATTACCGGAGAAAGCAATCAACAAAGAAACCGTTGCACGGCGGCATGGCCAGCCGCCAAATGCAGGGTACGACGGGGACGGCACGGCAGGTCGGCAGCGAGGATCGGACGAACTGAAGCGACGAGAAAGCAAACCGTTTCTCTTCTCTACGGTTCGTTCCATACTTTCCATCGCCGTTCTTTGAGTTTTGAGGTCCCGAATTGAGGCGGGCTTCCGGGAGACGGAGCTCACACACACTCACTCGGTCGGCGACCGATCCACACCGGACCAGCAGGCGGGACCAGGCCGTCGCGCTCTCCCCCCTCCCGGTGGGCCCGTTCGACTCGATGTCAAGACGTCAAGTGTGGCCGCGGATCAGGAACCGGACGCAAAAGGCCGCCGCCGTGCACGGTGCGTGGCTGCGTGCACGCGACGGATCGACGTGGGGACAGGCTAGAGTCGCCACGCAAGCGCCCGCGGTTTTTCTGGAGTGCAGAGATGGATGAGGCATGCGGTTTTACGGCTCGGGACAGCGACAAGTGACGGTAGAGAGACAGGACAATTCGTACGAGCCATCTGTATAGTACTCCTACCATAGTTCACTGAACCTGTCTGCTGTTCGGGTCCATTCGACCCAGAAATACTACTCGAAACAAACAAACCTTTTTTTTTCTGTTTGGCGCGTGAAAATGTTGTAGAAACCAGTACGTGGTTGCAAATTCTACTGGTTTCTTCTTTGACTAAAGCCCGTTAGGCGCCTGTGCCGCCGTTTTTTTTTTTTTTTTTTGGCGAAAGCCTGTGCCGCATATAAGAGCGGAGCACCTCTACTAGCAACTTGGCCACAAAGAATGCAACACGACTGCACGAGGAGGCGATGTTCCCAGACCAGGATGCCATTATTGTTCGTTGTTGGATGGAGACAAGAGGACGAGCAGGTAGCTGTTAAATACGGCCGCAGGCTTACCGTAAAGGGAAATGCATTTGGAGTTTGGACGACACTGCCTGCACGCAGCCAGACAGATAGACAGACACGACAGTTGCAATGCATCTACTAGTCGGATTGGATTGGGTGCATGCATGTAGTACGTGTAGCGTAACTGCTTGAGTGTACGTCACGATGACAGACGGGGCAGCCTTGTAGCAAGAACCAACTCTGCCTGCTTAACGAATTTGCATGTACAGACTACTCTCATTTCAATTCAATATATCCTTGTTTACGATTCTTACCTCCTCATGTAAGCTGAACACGTACACTGGTACTACTTCGACGGCTTACTACTGGTAGGACCAAACTAGCGAGGAGGAGGAAGCGAGCTGCCGCCTGCCGGCGCGGAGGCGTCAGTCAGGCCTTGCGGCCACGGCCGCGCGTTGCATCGCATCGCACCGAGAAAAGGCGGGCGGCGGCTCCTTTTTAACTGGTGAACTGGTCCTGCAGCAGCTTGCCGGCGGAGCAGGTGCAGTTGGCGCGGCCGTCGTTCAGCACCTGGAACGAACCAGAGACGACCACCATGAGCAACCATGAACAGAATTGGACGCCTTTTGACATTCGAGTGTACTGTTCTTGTTTTCTCTCGAATACCATCTTATTAATAATCTGGACGCTCTTAAGCTAATCAGAGTGTCCATGCCGACACGGACACGACTTGAATTAATATTCTTTTTGGATCATGTAGTTGGATAAGCCTTATCAAAGTTACCCCTGCCGTCAACCACAGGGCAAATCTACTTGATGGCAGCATTTCTGATGGCTCAGGGCGACCCGATAACTATCAGCTGCGGCCTCGGCAGAAAAGAACGGTTGTTGGATGTGGGCATATACCTTGACCTGCTTCTGAAGATCCTTGATGTAGTCCACGGCCAGATCCAGCATGTCGGCAGTGTTGGTTTGCTGCAGTCATCGACAATAACCGGACGCATAACAACAGGCCGTCAGTTTATCTATCGTGGGCTGTTCTGTTCAATCTTGTGACGTTTCACTGTTCTATCGATCTTTCTTGGGGTTTGGGCTAGGTTTGGCCCGTGTTAGGTTTGGTTACCTTTTCCATGTTGGGCACGAGCTCCTGCAACTTTCGTATCCGCTCGCTGATCTTCGTCCTCCTCACCTGACGGCGACAACGACATGAATCAGTTTCAAGCTTTTTTTCCTTTCTTTCTTTTTTTGATTGGACTGGAAAACCAAGCTAGGGCGTTGTTTAGATATAAGTTCAAAAAATTCTCAAGTTTTTTACTCAACTCTCTCCATCACATTTTTTTTTTACCGTTTGTATTCCAACATTAAACGTAGAGTAAAAAAAAATAACTAATTGCATAGTTTTTTGGAAATCACGGATGAATCTTTTTGGTTTAGTTTTTCCATGATGGGCACGAATAACTTACCAAATAAGACGAAAATCCTCCTCCACCTGACGGCGACAACGACATGAAATCAAGCTTTTTTTCCTTTCTTTCTTTTTTTGATTGGACTGGAAAACCAAGCTAGAGTTTGAGTAGCAGCCAGGATAGGAATGCAGCTGGCCGCAGTCTGCAGGGCACGAACCCGCTCGGCGATGCTGCGCGGGTGGGTGGCGCACCCGCGCTTGGCGCGGATCTTGCAGGGGACGGCATCCTGGAACTGCAGGAACTTCTCGATCGCCGCCATCTCCGCCGAGGCCGCCGCCGGCTTGCCGCCGCCGTTGTTGCCGCCGTTGGGCAGGCTGAGCTGCGGCGCCAGCTGCTGCTGCTGCACGTTCTGCGGCGTGGGGCCCGAGTCGCGGGGGCGCTTCGCGACGGACGTCGGCGACGGCGACGGCTCGTCCGTCCAGGCGCCGGACGAGCCGCTCATCGGGTACCCCGGGATGCCGCTGTACCCACGCGCCGCGCCGCTGGCGTTGCTGCCGGCCGCCTCGGGGCTGCTGCCGCCGTGGAGCTCCTCGCTGCCCACCTCCGAGATCTGCGACATCATCGACCCCTGCCGGGACGAGAAGCTCAGCTGCCCCTTGAGCCGAGCGTCGCTGACGCCGCCGTTGGTCCTGAACCCGCCGCCGGCCATGCCCGCCCGGAGTATGCTGCCGTACCCTGCAAGGTGCAAGCCGCGCGCGGCGGCGAATTAATCGGTCGCGATCAGTTCCCCGCTCCGCAAATGGAAAGCTAGGCGCCTAGCGCATGATTGGGATGCTACTACTTCTGGAGAGACCAAGAAAAAGGAGGTACAAGTACAAGACGAGGCAGAGGCAACCAATTACCGTTGTCCATGTTCAGGTGGTTGAGGAACCCGGCGGGGGAGCTGCTCTGCCGGATCAGGCTGTTGTTACCAGCGCCGCCAACGGCCGCACCGTGCTCCGTGCCGCCGGAGCTGACGTTGCGGTACAGCCCCTCCATGGCGGCCATCTGCTGCTGCGACTGATACATGAGCTGCTGCTGCTGCTGCGAGGCGGCCATGGACGCGGCGGCGGCGGCTTCGTCCATGAAGTGTGCGGCCGCGGCGGGGCGGGGAGGCTTGCAGTCCCGGGTCTCGGAGTGGTGGTGCCCGGCGAGAAAGCGCGCGAGGACGTTGTCCGTGACGGCGTGGTCCGGTGGTGGTCCGTGCCCTGCCCCTGCGCCGCCAGCCGGCGCGGGGAAGTCCTGATCCCCGCACATCACCTCGCCGAGCAGCGTGCTCGGCGCCGACCTGTACCGCAGCAGTCCCGGGGAGCTCATCTGCTGCTGCGGTGGCGTCCTCGCACCGGCCCTGGTCGGCTGCGGCAGGGCGGCTGCTGGCAGGTTGAGGTCCTTGGGCACCGGCGCGCCGTACATCACCGACCCCCGCCTCCCCCAACTGCAATCAACCCCGGCCGCCTAGCTCCCAAACACACTAGCTAGTATAGAACTAGCCTCTCCCTGTCCACCGCGCCAGTACGACTGCAGTCTGCCGACTGCGGCGGGTGGAGCGCGCGCACGGTGAATGGTGAAACCGATCGGACGGGAGGAGGAAGAAGGCAGGTAGGGAAGGGGTCAGTGCGTCGCAGTCGCAGCGGTGCGGGCGGGCGTCGGGGACTGCGTAGATAAGAGGAGAGAGCTCGCTAGCCGAGCCGAGCTGTGTTGACTGGGGAGGCGTGTGGGCGTAGCAGTTTAACATGTGGAGGGTGAGAGCTCGGCGCTATTTATAACGGCGGACGCGGAAGTTAGACTATCTCCAACAGCAGACGCATCACGGTACCCAAACACAAAATACCTGCTCTTCATCGCTTTATGACAAAAACATACGGTCCAACGGATGACGCAAACAGTGAACCCATTTTGGGTGCGAGGCGATGGAGAACGCAAATCAAGCGTTGTCTCTCTCTCGACCCAAATCTTTTAGCCTTTTTGAAATTTTTTCATAAATATGTTCCTATAGGTAAGATTTTAAAAGGGATCTTTAACTCAACGCGGGACGCCGACGAGCGCTGACGGCGGAACACTGGTGGGTGCGGCCATGACCGCAGCATGGGCGAGGCGGAATGCTCGGTGAGGCGGGTCCATCTCTTTACCACGCGGCGAGGCGGGCCGGAGATCGCCATTGATGGTAAGTTCTGATTGGCAAATATCATGCTTACATGCTCCGACGCGCAAACAAAGTTGGTTCCTTGGCAGCCGAGAAGGAGCGGTGGAGGCGGACCCGCTCCCGGATACATGGTTGGGCCGAGCGAGATCCTATCATAGGCGAGGATGGCGTGGCGAGAGCAGATAGAGGGGTATGCACATTTGCATGATGGAGGGCCGCCACGACTTGCGGCGCTTCCTCGGAAGAATGGTGGAATGTCCGATGGTCGTAGTCGCCTTGACGGAGGACAAGTATAAGAGGACTCCCATGTTAACGCATCAAATGCGGCCTTGTTTCCTTCCTTGTTGTATTTAGCGATCGCAAGAGACGATGTCGTAGATGCGTGCGAACCGATTGAAATGCTGAGAAATGTCTATTGAGGATACGAGATGCCCGTGAATGCAACAGCTAGTACTCAGTACTAGTAAACCGCAAGAAGATTGGAGCGTGAGCGAGAGAAGAAAATGCAAGAGGCAAGAAAAGGAGAGCAGACCTCCCAACTCTCTTCTGTCACAATGTACTGGTGCACTGGGGTGGTTGTTGGATGCGGAGCTGGGTTCACATACACTTCTTCCCTCCGCCTTGTTGGTTCCTTCTTCCTTCTCCTTCTTGTCAAAGCAGTAACTAAGGGCCGGGTGACACTTTGAGCTTGGTGGTGGTGGTGGAGTTCGACCATATGATGACCCTTCCGGGAGCGTTCTCAGATGATCAAGAAAGATGATGAGGATGGTTATGGATCGAGGCGATGGCGAGCGCGGGCGAGGGCATTTTCGCTTAAGCGTGCCAACTGTTGGAAAGGGTATTTTTGGGTCGGGTTCCTTTCATCGTGCATTTAATTAATTATGCATGTCCAAACCATCTAATGCCTATTGATTTTAGGTCCGCTTGTTGGAGACAGTCTTACCCGAAGAAACGAAGCACCCTCGTGGCTGCCGAATTTTTTATTTTTTTAGCCTTTTGTGAAAAAATTTCATAAATATGTTTTTATAGGTAAGATTTTAAAATCTGGACCCTTAACTCGGCGTCATTGTTGCTGGCGCAGAGCTCGGGGCCACGTTGGCGGCATGGACATTGACATGGCAGCCATCTCGACGCCGTGGATCTTGGCGCCGAACTCGGTGCCAATAATCCTGACGTCAAGCCCTCTGTTACGTATGGGTCCTCCCTTCCTTTCTCTCTTCCTCTCTCTTTCTCTCTTTCTCTCCGCCCATCATTTGTCCTTGCTTGCTCGTCTCTTCCTCGCCGCCACGCGTCGGTGGATGGAGGTCTGAGTTTGGGCGACAACATGGCGGAGTCATTCAATAAGTTGCTATTGGGGATACGTGGTATGCCCGTGAATGCAATCGTTCAATTCACCTTCTACAAGCTTGTTGTCTGGTTCAACGATAGACACGCCCATGCATTGAAGTTGTGGAGTGATAGAGAGATATGGGCTCCGAAACCAAAGGCACACCTAGAGAAGGCAAATAAAAGGGCTGGCACACATGAGGTTTCATGCTTTGACCACGCCACAGGGACTTATCAGGTCAAGCATAGGGGCGGTACAACGTACGACAGTGAGGTCCGAGTGTCAATGATGCATGTGGTTATCCTCCAAAATTTCACATGCACTTGTGGTAAACCAAGACAGTACCACTTTCTATGTTCCCATTTGGTGGCAGCAGCTAGGCATCGCAACTATAATATCGAGAGCAGGATACCTCACGAGTTCAGTGTCGACACGCTTGTGCACATATAGAGCCCCCGTTTTGTGCCTTTCCAGGACCCTGGAGAGTGGCCTCCATATGATGGGCCAAGGTACATTGCGAATCCAGCTTACCGTTGGAACAAGCATGGATCAAAAAAGAGGACGAGGCACATGATGGTTATGGATCAGATACCCAGAAGAATGAGACGTGGGAGAGGAACCCCATTTCTTACTGACCCCGAGCAGTACGAGTGCGGCAAGTGTGGTAGACTGGGTCACAATTCACGCGCTTGCCATTGGCAGATTAGTGATGTGCGACTATTGGTTGTTTTCATTATATCATATTTGTCATATTCATTTAATTAATTATGCATGTCTCAATTTATGCATGTAATTGTGTCAATTATTTATATATTTCTAAGTTCATGTTTCATTGTATATTGAATTTCTAATTTATTGACTTTTTTTGTACGATGACGCAATTCCACCTGCTCGACCCGACGTACGAGGCGACCCACCGAGGACGTCTCATAGTGGAGGGGCAGGTAATAATCTATATGTTTTGTTCAAATTTTTGTGAGAGTACATGTGTTCGTGAAGTAACGGGAGACTATGTTTTATTCCATACCGGACCATCTGCTCCTTCGTCCTAGAACCCACAATTGGTTCTTGGACATGTAGTACGACGATAGGTGCACTCCTTTCCTACAAAGAGTTGGCATGGATGTCATCTCTTTTCAAGTTCGTTGTGGGTTGCCCAAGTTCAACTCAGCGGTCATAACTGCGTTGGTTGACAGGTATTATCTTCAATCATTGCCTCCATCCATGGCTATTTGTTCTTGCGCTTGCCTTTTTGACATGTAATCTTGCTTTGTCTAAAATGTAGGTGGCGGCCGGAGACTCATAGCTTCCACCTACCTTTCGAAGAGATGACAGCCACGCTCTAGGACTGTCAGAAGATGCTAGATCTAAGAATTCACGGCAACGCAGTCACTGGGCAGTGCAGGTCAAAAGGCTGGAGAGCACGAGTAGAGGCTTTCCTTGGGCGTGAGGTTGGCGAGCAAGGGGCTCGCACTTCAAGAGTTCTAATCTCCTAGCTCCAGCAAGAGTTCGCATAGTGCCTTGAGGAGGCAGATGAGGAGACAGTTGGGTACTACTGCAGGGCGTGGATCCTACACCTGTTTGCCTGCGCTCTCTTCCCCGACGCCATGGGTGACACTGCATCATGGATGTGGGTCCCTGCCTTAGTGACTGAGACTAGGTGGGTCAGTACAGCTGAGGCTCTGCAGTATTGGGTTTTTTTTACCGGTAGCTTTGCGAAGGGTGTTGTCGGACTTCATCCACAGCGTCACTTGGTGGATGTGTGTACCTGCTTTAGTTGTGGATGTGGGCTCGTCTACCAGTTGGTCGTCCCAAGGTTCTGGCTCCTCGTGAGTGGTTCCCTGGTCAGCCTCCACGTCGACAGTCGATGTGGGCGTACCTTTGGGACCAGGTTAGGGTTCCGCACGCGAGGTTACAGCAGGCGTACATTGAGTTCACGAACGAGCTAGACACGCTCACGACGTCTAGTGTAAGTAAATTTTATTTTCTATGCTGATTTCAAATAGTTTAGTATACTATCTAACATCTTGTTTGGACATATTGTAGGTGTCGTGGGAGCCGTACGATAGAGAGGGGGGCACTTCCTTTTCATTTGAGAAACATGTGTGGATGCGATGACGACTTCTATATTATGAGGTGCCCTCTAATCTATTTCTATGCTGTCGAGTTCCACCTGCCAAATAGAGTTGCACGCCAATTTGGAGTGAGACAAATTTGGCCAATGGCTCCGTTCTCGACTAGCGTTGACTTACACAAGTAAGTATTTTGCTATTTCAAATGTCTCGTGATGGTCCATTTCCATTAATATGATGACGTGTACCTAGATTCAAGTAATGATGACATACGTACAGGTTGAATCGTCAGAAGAACAGAAAGATTTTTGACTGGGAGAAGCACCACCAGTACTACATTGAGCAATGGGAGGAGATGCACGACAATGTGGACGCGAACAATGAGCCGCACATGAACCGTGAGTTCAGGCGGTACCAAGCTTGGTACGAACGTGCAACACGTTGCAGGCTGAGGCTACAATGGACAGAAGATGACTACACCGACATCGAGTCCTCCGATGATGAAGACACGATGTACGACCAATCTATACGTGCAGAAAGGCAGGTGGAGGCAGGACCAATCTTGGACAGAGTGGTAAGTCAATTGTCTTATTTTTCTACGTTAAATTGCATATCAATACATTATGCGTTAGAGGTATCTATTTTAGTTAGTGTCACCTTCGAGCCATAGCATCCTTATAATACGTTAGATTGTTGTACAAAAGAAAAGAAAACATATTGCTATATATTCAGAAGTATTATCACTGAGAACTTTATTGCAGAGCAATACCCTCAAATACTCCGTTGAAGACATTGAGCGTTTTCGTCCGAGAGTCAAGGACGACGACACGCGTAGCTTCCTAGACGTAAGATTCAAAATATTCTTTCAAAC